ACAATCAAGTTGTCATGAATGAGGATGAACCATCATCAGTGCAAGCTCAAGTGAAGAAGGAGAAAGCAAGGAAAGAGAAGGCTGCCAAGATGCCAACTCAAGAGGAGGCATCTGAGTATTTCTTGAAGAACAAACAGGAGCAGCTTGGTTACTTGATAGCATCAACACTGAGGATTGAGAAGGGGTTGGCCACCCTAACTCAAAACCAGGAGAGCCTGGAAAGTATCATGGAACAAAAATTCTATGATCTTGATGTCAAAGTAACTGAGATTAAGTCTGTTGTGGAACAGCTTCAGGATGACATGCAGGAGAGGAAGGGCAAGACAACCACTGATGCATTTGCCAGAGTGCCTAGAGCTCAGAGGTCAGCTGCAGTGCCTGTGACAAACACAAGAGCCACATCATCTGCACCAGCTACAGCTCCTACAGCTCTAGTGCAACCAGCTCCAGCACCAACTCCTCCAGCTCCATCTACATCAATAGAAGCCTTCATTCTTGGAGTTATCCGTACACCACCACCACCTGAAGACCAAGCCTGAGAGACGATCTAGCACTATGCATTTTCTATGAACTTTTTGGTAACTTGTTGCCAAAGGGGGAGAAAAATGTATAGATCATAGGCTTCGAGAGAGAGATTTGCTGTTTTTTGTTCTCTCTTGTCTTCTTGGTTAAACTTGTTTGCTTTTTGATTGCTTGAGATACTATGCAATTACCTGTGAGACATTGATGATCATAAGCTACACTTATGCATGTTTGATGATATTATCTTACCTATCCTTATATGATCATTCACTTTGCTTGGTGATGAGTGCATGTATTCAATCTTTATTATTTTGAGCGCTCCACCAAGATGTATGTGACATGGAAGAGTAACCCATGAGCCTAATTTCTTGTGCATTTGCAGTCCAAAGCAAATCTTAAACTATGCACAAATTTAGGGGGAGCTCTTGCTTATCACATACTTCTCAAAGCGACGATGTTTTTTTAATCTTATTATCATTTGTCAAAGCTTTGATCTATATGTTGTCATCAATTACCAAAAAGGGAGAGACTGAAAGTGCAACTATCCCTAGGTGGTTTTGATAATTCATAACAACATATAGCTCATTGAGCTAATGCTATTCCAGGACTATTATTTCAGGAAGCTCAATGAATGGCATGGCATGGATGATGAAAGTGGATCCCTCAAAATATCAAGGACAAAGGATTGGCTCAAACTCAAAAGCTCAAGACTCTACATTTTATATTTCAGTGATCCAAGATCACATTGAGTCTATAGGAAAAGCTAATACTATCAAGGAGGGATGAGGTGTTGCTTAATGAGCCTCTTGCTTCATGTGCTTAGTGATATGCTCCAAATACCCTCAACTACTTTCTCACATCCTCATTTGACCTAAACCTAAAGCCAAAATCGGTCACACCGATTCTTTCTATCTGGCGCCACCGAGTTCAAATGTCATAGCCACTGCCACAAACCCTAGGCAAATCGGTCTCACCGATAGGGATCTCGGTCACACCGAGATGGGATTGTAATCTCTCTGTTTCCCTTCATAATGTTTCGGTCTAACCGGAGTGAGCGATCGGTCCCACCGAGATTGCAATGTAAACTCTTTGTTTCCCTTTTGTAACATTTCGGTCTCACCGAAAAGAGCAAATCGGTCCCACCGAGTTTACCTGACCAACTCTATGGTTAGCTAATTACCAAAATCGGTCTCACCGAGATTACGTTATACCCTAACCCTAACCATATCGGTCCTACCGAGTTGCATGTCGGTCCCACCGAAAATCCTAACGGTCACTAGGTTTACTAAATCGGTCTGACCGAGTTTGTTGACTCGGTCCCACCGAGATTGGTAAATTGTGTGTAACGGTTAGATTTTGTGTGGAGGCTATATATACCCCTCCACCTCCTCTTCATTCGTGGAGAGAGCCATCAGAACAAACCTACACTTCCAACTTACCAGTTCTGAGAGAGAACCACCTACTCATGTGTTGAGGCCAAAATATTCCATTCCTACCATATGAATCTTGATCTCTAGCCTTCCCCAAGTTGCTTTCCACTCAAATCTTCTTTCCACCAGATCCAAATCCTATGAGAGAGAGTTGAGTGTTGGGGAGACTATCATTTGAAGCACAAGAGCAAGGAGTTCATCATCAACGCACCATTGTTACTTCTTGGAGAGTGGTGTCTCCTAGATTGGCTAGGTGTCACTTGGGAGCCTCCGACAAGATTGTGGAGTTGAACCAAGGAGTTTGTAAGGGCAAGGAGATCGCCTACTTCGTGAAGATCTACCGCTAGTGAGGCAAGTCCTTCGTGGGCGACGACCATGGTGGGATAGACAAGGTTGCTTCTTCGTGGACCCTTCTTGGGTGGAGCCCTCCGTGGACTCGCGCAACCGTTACCCTTCGTGGGTTGAAGTCTCCATCAACGTGGATGTACGATAGCATCACCTATCGGAACCATGCCAAAAACATCCGTGTCTCCAACTGCGTTTGAATCCTCCAAACCCTTCCCTTTACTTTCTTGCAAGTTGCATGCTTTAATTTCCGCTGCGTATATACTCTTTGCATGCTTGCTTGATTTGTGTGATGATTGCTTGACTTGTCCAAAGATTGCTAAAATCTGCCAAACTCTAAAATTGGGAAAAGGTTAAGTTTTTAATTGGTCAAGTAGTCTAATCACCCCCCTCTAGACATACTTCAAGGTCCTACATACAGCTATCTTCACACAGACGCTCTCTCTGTCGCCGTGGTCACCGCCGTGCTCTCTATCGCCCGCTCTCTCTGTCGTCGTGGTCACCACCGTGCTCTCTATCGCCCGCTCTCTCTGTCGCCGTGATCGCCGCCGCTCTTTGTCGCCCGCTTATATAGCACAACCACAACGGCTCTCTGCTCAACGGATCTTTGCTGGTTCCCACAAGCCACATGTGCAACGGTCTGATTGTCTAGCGCGTCTCTACCGCCTAGTCCCGCCTGCAAGGGCCAAGTCAAAACGTTGACCTGACGGAGATGGCAGTGTTCACGGAACGAGTCAGTGCGGACAGACTAGGGGCAAAATTGAGCACGATTCGCAACTGAGGGCAAAACTGAGCAAATGGACACCACTAAGGGCAAAAGGATAATTAACCCAAAAATATTAGAGGGGAAGATGTATAGAGATTCTGCTAAAGCACATGCAAACCTCTTCTAAATTATTCGGATACCTCGTATAACCACTTATAGGGAGAGATTTTATGGGGATTTTCTTAAAGATGCTCTTACATCCTCCATTTTGTTTGGTCTCAGGTTGTTCTCCATGTGAGGATCTTGAGTTTGTTGTTAACTTCAAAACAAGCCCAAGACCATCGAAAACGGCGTTCATATGTGAAAGTTATGCATGTGTTTTGTGTTGCAAGACCTTTGTTATTGGTAAGATATTCCAAGGCAAGTTGGACTATCCGACATGAGTCGGACTTAATGTTTTGCTCTTTGGAACGGGTCGAATATTCTGACATGTGTTGAATCCTCGGACATGTAAAAATGTCCGACATGATGCAGAAGCCTTTGCATATACTCTGACATGTCAGACCGTCCGACCGAACAAGAAAAAACTTATAGGATTCAATCATATAAATCAAACAACCGATGTAGAAAATATTATCAAGAATTCCAATTCTCCACAAAAATCCTTTGAATCCAAGGCCCTGAGTCAAAGAGACCCTCATCTCATGTCAATTCCTAAGTGAAGATTGCTCTTTTAACTTCGCATGCTAATTCTTAAGTGGGAATTACTCTTTTGACTTCCAGAGAGTATCCCACCGAGGCCTCCTTTCATTTGTAAGAATTTTGTAGAAATTTTATAGGATATGATTCCTATAGATTTTTTTAATAAAGTCCGTTGGCTTGTAGGAATAGAGCCTTATTTCTACACAGGAATTATTTGTATCTTTCATAATTTTCGGAGGAAAAATAAACATTTGCCTAGATTGAATGAAAATTTTCTATGATGTGAACAAAAGGAATTTTTTTTCAATTCCTATTCATAGGATTTGTCATACGATTTGAGGTACATGACATCGCATTTTATACAAGTTTTTTATTTCTAGGATTTTATGAACAAAAAGGGCTGAACCTTGCAGGAAGCTGCCCGGAACCAAAAGGACGACCAGAGAAGCCAGCATGCACCAAAAACCGTTCGCGTGGGCTTTGGTAAAGCGCACAGCTCGCACAACACAACAAACGGCGGGCAACCGACGCTGATGTGACGTTCCAGATCGAGGCCCCCCCGGTAGCTATCTTGTGCGGAGAGGTGGCAGTTAACGGCCCCATCCAGTGCTGTCCCGTTCAGCCAACGCGTACATGGAGTGGATATAGGTATAGGTTCATGAACTGGCAGCAACCAGAATAGACGGAGGGGAAACGGTCAGTGCGTTCTGCGTTCCTGGACCAAAATCAGCGTATACTCGATCGGACTGACACCCCACTAACTCTGCGATGATTATCACGCACATAATAATCTGTAAATAATCTTTTTTTTTTGTAGAAGCTGTAATCTGCTATAGTCCACTTGTACTAATAAGCAAATAATGCTACTACTAGTACCAGTTGCAATCTTCTGAATTCTGATACTAGTACGTACTAGTAGGAGTTTTCCAGCTGCTGTGGAAAATGAGCACACGGTTTTGGAAGGGTTAGTCAAACACTAGTCCGTACACAACAGGTGGAAGATTAGGAGAAGCTCGACAAAGATTAGAGAAAAGCGGACCAGAAAGCGACACCATCGGGCAGCGCTGCGTGTACGACAAGGCAAGGCAAATCCAGTCCCCCTCCCCGACCCCAAAGGCCCAAATCACGCAGCTCAGTTGCCTTCTCCCCTCTCTCGATTCCTCCATTTCAAACCAAAACCCCCAATCAGCATCACCCCACCTCACCTTGGTTCGATCCGCCACAGCCACCGAGAAATCCCGGAATAAGCTCGGCGTGAAGGGTCAGCGCATAAACCCTAGCCTAGCCAGCTCCCCATGGCGGCCAACTCCTCCTCCCCGTCGGCCGGCGGCGACGCGCCGGCCCCGGCGCTGCCGCCGGTGCGCCTCGCGGCGGGCCAGGCGGCCACGATCCAGCCCTCCTCCCCGCGCTACTTCTTCTCCTCGCTCGCCGGCAAGGACGCCTCCTCCCATCGCCGCATCGCCATCGCCGTCGACCTCTCCGACGAGTCCGCCTTCGCCGTGCGGTGGGCCGTGCAGAACTACCTGCGCCCCGGCGACGCCGTCGTGCTCCTCCACGTGCGCCCCACCTCCGTCCTCTACGGCGCTGACTGGGGCTCCATCCCCGTCTCCGTCTCCGACGACGACGCGGACGACGCCGCCGTCGCCGTCGCCGCCGAGGGCTCCGACCCCGCCGCCTCCGCGGAGGAGCTGCAGAAGAAGCGGGAGGAGGACTTCGACGCCTTCACGTCCACCAAGTCGCAGGACCTGGCGCAGCCGCTCGTTGCCGCGCAGATCCCCTTTAAGATCCACGTCGTCAAGGACCACGACATGAAGGAGCGCCTCTGCCTCGAGGCCGAGCGCCTTGGCCTGTCAGCCATGATCATGGGAAGCCGCGGATTCGGGGCCTCGCGCAAGGGCGGCAAAGGGAGGCTCGGGAGTGTTAGTGATTACTGTGTGCATCACTGTGTCTGCCCGGTTGTGGTTGTTCGCTACCCAGATGACGCTGCAGGTATCCCCGGGGAGGCAGCAGCAGCAACAGATGAGCTGCACACCGTGCCGGAGGATGAGCCCGTGTATCATGATGCGCCTGACGCACACAAAGGTCTGCCCTCCTGCTTTCCTGAACTCCATGATTTTGATTGTTTGTGCTGATTGATTGCTTATTCATGAGGTGCTGGATGAACTGATTTATACTACACTAGTGTATGGTATGGAACAAAACTAGTATAGACATTCCTTGGTAACTAGTTCAGTACTAAGATGTTTCAGTCACCCAGCGATTAAAACCGTTGATCTTATCTTGCACAATACTGCTGTGGACTGGATTATTGGAGGAAGTGGTAATACTATGATATTCTCTTCTCGTAAAGGTTTCCTGGTGCTCTTAAAATTGTGGATGAAAAATAAACTGTATTGAGATTTGAGAAAGGCACATAGGTAATACAAAAATATTGAACTGTGAATCAGATTCTTCAGCTGTCAAAAGATAAATGAAAATGAATCAAATTCTCTGCTGCTGTACACTGCATCCGTTGTTGTTGATGCCATCTGTAGTTGTTTCTTTTCACCTCCTTGTCAAAATACATGTTATTTAGGATATTGGTTTGTAAAAATAAATAAATAGGTTTAAAGATCAATGTTGAAATAGTTAATGAAATTTGCAACATCAAATTGATGGTACTAGACCGAACTATCATTTAAAACAGCATATTTTCAAAGAAATCGATGGTCAAAATGTCAATGTTAGAGACCGTGTCAATGTCCAAAACGACATGTGTTTTTGACACAGAGGTGGTACATTTCAGTTGTTATGCTTGTGTAAGTAATTGTATACAAGGAGATTATTTCTTGATTTTCTTGATGATTTACTCGGTGAAGAAACATTAGTGTAATGAAGAACTACTAGCTCAAATTGGCATCTGTAGTTGTCTAGAGTTAGCACATGAGATAATTAGTGATTTACAGCAATCTGCTGGCTAGTTATACTTTTATATGAGACTCTTCCTTTTATGGATCATCTTGTCTGCTGGTTATATGTTTCTACCACGTAGCTGAATTGAAACAATTATCGATGTATATGTAATCAAGTTTTAGTCGTATCTCTTATGCAACCGTAATAGTTTTACTTCCTGATTAAAAAGAGAGTTATATATGGAATTAGTTACATTTCTCTTTTTCTCCTATTTAATACGGGAGTTTCTGTGAAAGCTATTTTTCTTTAAATAATATAATTGTTTTACAGCAAGCATGGTAACATTATATTCTATACTTTCTTATTTGTGCTAAATTCAAAAGAGGGGCTATATCTTGTTAGTTACCTAAATTGATACTTAATATCAAGGAGAATCACATCTTGGGACATTTGTAGCTTCCTATATTGTTTGTCCATGGTTAACACGATTGTACTTTACAATTTAATTAAAGTAATGCAAAAATGTGTGTAACATTAATATCTCTTTTGAAAGGTTTAATCCGCCTCACATTAAAATTTTGTTGTCAGCTTATCAGCTCTGTGGAATGCGTTTTTCATATATGATTTCTTGTAGGACTACGATAGTTAGACTCAACTCATGCTTTTGAAACTCTGAAGGGTATTTTTCCCATGACAGTATCTCTAGAATTTCTCCTGCGCTAATTGTTTCCACTTCCGTTGCCATGTTTACCTGAGTTATTTATTTCGTAGTACTCGACCCATTTCAAAGTATAATGCATAGCTTTGAGTGGAATGAAGAGGTTCATACAGTCAAGAGAAGGACAAGAGAAAGTGACCATGCTATATACTCCCTCCGTTCCAAAATAGATGACCCAACTTTGTAATAACTTTGTACTAACGTTAGTACAAAGTTGAGCCATCTATTTTGGAACGGAGGAAGTATATCCTTGCTTCGATACTTTGGACAAAGAAGAATGACTAGTTAGTGATTGTGTTACTTGTAAATGGAATATAAATGTAGGCAAACAAGGAAAATCATCAAGAAATTCACATGCATGACTTACATGTTGTAAAGCAATATTAATAAACTATACACCTTTATAAGATGCAATGATGGGTATGTGTGCAGTTTCCTCTCCTTTCCCCTTGTGTCACAAATGGATAAGATCACCCTTTCTTTGGTTGCCTTTAGGTCATCTGTTACTTTTACCCATGCATATCTCATTTTACTTTCCCCTTGCTGCATTGCATATCAATTTTCTCTAATCACTGTTCCCTCTCTTTTTTTTTTTTTGCTTCACACTACACTTCATCATCTGCTGATTTTTGATTGGGTCATTGTAGTTGAATACCGTCATACTCATACCTCATGTCTTGGGAACCCTTATAGTTAGCCATGTATCCAGTTCATAGCCTTATACACCTGTCAGTTTTCTATGTACGCTGGAACAGATGACATGGTACCAGGGGTACCATGTGTCTCATTAGTTCAGGACCACACTTTTTTGGTAATTACAGTTTGCAGCAGTTGCCAAAATTTTCCACTTATCGTTGTGGGCTGGCAAGTGGGACAAGCTGTGACATCAGCTATGGGTGTGTAGCATCTAGCATGCCTACTTGGTTGCAGCAAAAAAATCTATTCCCTCCGTTCCTAAATACTCCCTCCGTCCCATAATATAAGAACACTTTTTATACTAGTGTAGTGTTAAGAACGTTCTTATATTATGGGACAGAGGGAGTACTTGTCTTTCTAAACATTTCAAATGGACTACAACATACGGATGTATGTAAACATATTTTAGAGTATAGATTAACTCATTTTGCTTCGTATGTAGTCACTTGTTGAAATCTCTAGAAAGACAAATATTTGGGAACGGAGGGAGTAGTCTAGTAAACCAGTAAGGCCCTATATCAGAATTCTCCCTACAATCAGCAAAAGTTGTAGGATGTGCTAAGGTCTTCAGAAGTTCAGAGTGTTTCCAACATACTTGGGAGGGTAAAGGTTTCACATTCTGAAGATGACTGGTCTTTGTGAATATTGGTCTATTATTTGTATGTTATATGCTACTAGTTTAGTAAACCAAAAGAGAACGTGCGATTTGTGCTGCAGTGAGACCTCCAGAGGAGTGGGGCTACTGACAAGGGCTCGAACCCAGGTTCTTCCATAAAAAAAGAAACCTCTGTGTATTGTTCCCCATGCCTGTCAGGTTCGCCAATGGTGCTGAGCTGGCCCACATGTCAGCCACACAAAGTTAGGTCATGTAAGTTAGAGGATCTTCGTCCGTACTGTAGTGGGTGGAGCCGTGTTCAGGGCCTTTTGTTAACCTAAAAAAATGCCTTCGGGTTTCTTCCCCAAGGGCCAAGTTTAGTAAACCAATTAGGCCCTATGTAAGTACAATTCTCCCTAAGAGTTGTAGGATGTGCTAAGTAGCAAATTTGAACTAGAATCTGCCTAAGGTCTTCACAAGTTCAGAGTGTTGGCAACATACTTGGGAGGGTAATGGTTTCAGATGATCTGGTCCTTGTGAACATTAGCCTGTTATTCATATGTTATGTACAATTATCTACTGGAACAAACCAAGCTTACTCGTTTTCCTTGTCTCAGTAGTTTACAATGGTGCCTTTGAATATGTTCTCATATTCAAGAGCTCTGAACTCCCTTGCATGCCAAATGCACGCACCTATTCCGCACGCATATTTATTTCAGTCGCTGCCTGACTCTATTTCATTTGAAACTTGTACTTGGACTTGATTGCTAAGTTGGCTTGCGAGCGAATGTTGATCTTACTCCTCTGTTTCTTCACTGCAGAAAACTGAGGCAATGGCATCCAATCGGAGCGCAAGGAGACCATGAGGCTTGTGTACCTAGGCGATCCCTGTGTACCTGAGCGAAGCAACTCTGTATCCAGCATCCACTGCACGAGCGCGCGCAAATCATAAACTGGCTTTGCCGGCAGGCTTTAGAGCCGGGCTCTCAGGTGGCGGGGGTCTTTGTTGGTTTGCGTCGTGTGATGTTTTATGTTGTCAACTGCAAGTAGACTGAACTATTGCTGTGTGCATGCGCTGTATTTTTATGAACCTCTCTTGTTTTGCAAGTCCAGGCTTCCGGATGTAATATGTGTACCTGTTGTACTCTTCGGTAGTTTTCTGCATTGGATACTTGGGTAATGGACGCTGTCTAGGTTTCTGTATGTACATGTTTGTGTCCAAATAAATGCAATGTTGGCATGCTTCTTTGTGACATTTACCGCACGATACATGCTGTTAGTGTTTTCATTTTGACACGCTAGAGCAACAAAGAGTAGATATACATACAGGTGAAAAAGGAAGGGAGAAGATGAAAAAGACGACTAATCTAATATCCAGTCTCATTACACGAGTGATTATTAACGTTGATTCTTGATGACATAAACCTGTCCGATGGCGGTTTCGAAAATGTTGACATGCAGTTCAAAAAAAAGAAGAAGAAAATGTTGACATGCCTCTCAAAAAAGAAAAAAAAGAAAATGTTGACATGCTTCTCTGTGACAATTGCCACATGCGGTTAGCGTTTTCATTTTGGCGCGCGTCTCGTCTCTTGCCTCCCCTCCCCTCTTCCTCAGAAAGGCAAAAACATCCCCCAAAATCCGCCGCGGCGCATTGGCGGCAAGTTCAGCGGCGGCCATGGACGAGGGGCTGGTGTCCGTGGACAAGTTCAGCGGCGGCAGCCAGGCCTACTTCCTCACGCACCTCCACCAGGACCACACCCGGGGCCTCGGCGCGGCGGCCGGCTGGCGCCACGGCCCGCTCTACTGCTCCCCCGTCACGGCGCGCCTCCTCCCCACCCGCTTCCCGGGGGTCGACGCCTCCCTCCTCCGCCCCATCGCCGCCGGAGCCTCCGCCTCGCTCACCCTCACCTCCCCAATCTCCGGGCGCACCGTCTCCCTCCACGTCACCGCCCTCCCCGCCATCCACTGCCCCGGTACGCCTCCCCTCCCCAAACCCTCCTCTCCTGATGCGCTCGCTTGCCGCCGCTCGGTAAACCCGCTGATCGATCCGTGGCCGCGCGCCGTGTGTGCAGGCTCGCTCATGTTCCTCTTCCGCGGCGACCTCGGGTGCAGGCTGTACACCGGGGATTTCCGGTGGGAGTTGGGGTGCGACAAGGCGCGGGCCGCGAAGAAGGCGCTCCTCGACGCGCTCGCCGGGGACACCGTCGACGTGCTCTACTTGGACAACACCTACTGCCACCCGTCGCTCAACTTCCCCCCGCGCCGCGTCGTCGCTCAGCAGGTCAGATTTGATTCGGTCCAGTGTGGCATTTTCTGCCCTGTGTATGCAACGCTGTCACTTCAGCCAGCCGTAGTCCATGCTAGTCTGAATTTTTCTTCAGAGAAAAATTACTAGGAAGATTTAAATTACTAGGAAGATTATACGTTGTGTTGTGGATCCCTAAGGAAAACAATTCTTAGAATGCCTTGGAGGCCTGACCCCATTCTAGCAGTGAAGTCTCCAGAATGAGCAGATGCACTTTGATATGCAATTATCGGTGTCCATCCTTTGGTGTCAGTTGCAACTGTCAGTTACAACCTAGTTCATATACACAGTATGCTGCTTATACATCAATACTTTTGGCATTTCGCATGGAGCTCATAGAATTTCAGTCAGAAATTTGGTATAGCCTGTTGATGCCACTCAAGCCAAATGTCTGTCAAAGGTGAAAACCAGTGGCATATTGTTTTCTATAGCTGCATCTTCAAGGGGACAGAGACTAACTGGGCACGGATTTGGTTGAACAGCTGTTGTACTTCCTCATGTTCAGCATTAGCTGCCCCACATTCTATTTTACTAATGGGGTGGATGCTCTGATATAGTCTAGAGTTCTAGTGCTAATTAATTTACCTGCAATAAGATGTCATTCCCAACTTGTAAGTAAGTTGCCTACACATAAGTTTCTTCGTATATGTGACCATTAAATTCCCCATCATGCTATGTTGGATGTTTTATACTAATATTTTCTTAGTGTTGAGTGCAGATAGTTGACCTTATTTGTGCTCATCCTGATCATGAAGTTATTCTTGGCATTGACACTCTTGGCAAAGAAGACCTCTTGCTTTATATAGCCAGAGCACTACAAACGAAGGTGCTAAGCCTCCTTTCCTTGACATGCTCAATGTTCTACTCCTGATATGTTTTCAATTTCCTATTTCCATTCTTTTATTCAACATAAACTTGCTTCAGTATTGTCCCCTAAAGAAAAACGTGCTTCAGTATTGGTGTTAAGTTCTCACCCCTGCTCAGTCATCTTTAGTCTAAAATTCTGTGTAGCCGTCAGAACTTTGATACACACGCGTCAGAACTTTGATACACACGCTGCTATTGTATTTGCTTTATAAACGCTACACATTGATCTTCTTCTTCTGAAGGCTAAAATATTCTTTTCTCACTTTCGTCGTCAGATTTGGGTCTGGCCCCAGCGCCTACTGACAATGCACCTTCTAGGCATTGATGACAATCGAGAGATCTTCACCACCCAGACCAGCTTGACGAGGGTCCGGGCTGTTCCAAGGTACGGCCTGAGCATCGAGAGTCTTGAAGCTTTGAACACAGTATGTCCAACTATAGGAATCATGCCTTCAGGCAACACTTGGCTATGGAGAAACTGTGAGGGAAAGGCTAAGTTCAGTGGTAAAGCAGCAGCAAAGTCTACCAGATGCAAAGGGCGAGGGCGGGGCGCAGGCACAATAGAGATGAACTATGATCCCTCGTCACCACCAAAGCTATTTGAGAAGGATTCCTACACTCTGCCATACACCGACCATGCTTGTTTCGCAGAGTTAGAGGATTTTATGCAAACAGTGCGCCCGTCAACGGTCGTAGGGATTGTCAGCTCATCATACTGTTATGTGAATCCTCGTGGTCACTTCGCCCATCTCTGCGGAGACGAAGCGTGCTCTGACAAGACGCCTGTGAAGAACGGCGGGCAAGCTGGAAACTCGACGCCCGTGAAGAACGGCAGGCATGCTGGAAACTCGACGCCTAAGAGAAGACCGAGTGCTTTGAAGGCCCCGAGGAGAAGGATGGTCAAGATCGCCAGTCCAACAGTGTACAGAAGCAGAGCTATAATGATGAAAAGGAGGTATTCCTGTGGTGCAAAGATTGAAGAACCCGAAGAACCCATCCCTGTCTCTTGAGTTATATCCCCGAGTAAATTTTATGTTGCTCCTGCAAAGATCGACAACAGCTGGATGAACGACCTATCATCGTCCCTTGAGTTATCTCCCCAAGTAAACTTTATCTTGGTCCTGCAAAGATCGACAGCAGCTGGATGAAGAACGTGTCGTCGTCCCTTGAGTTATCTCCCCAAGTAAATTTTATCTTGATCCTGCAAAGATCGACAGCAGCTGGATGAAGAACCTGTCATCGTCCCTTTAGTTATTTCTCCAAGTAAATTTTATTCTGCTCCTGTAAAGTTTAACAGTTGGATAGGAAGAACCTGTGGGCAACCTAGCTCCCTTGAGTTATTTTCACAAGTAAAATTTATTTAGCTCGTGTAACTAACAGATGGATGGTTGGAAGCAGTGGGCTGGGAACTCTTGTGGTACAATTGACCCTGTTCTGGGTGCTACCGGCGCCATCTGTTCCCTTTAACCCTGTTCTGTCAGCAAGATGCATTTCAGTTAGTGTCTTCCTGATGCAGTTTATTAGTAGTACTGTAGTACTTTGCAACATAGAAAGCCCTGCACTTTCTTGAGCACTTGTTGGATGCGACAAAAGTTTCTAGACAGTAAAGCAACTTTCAGGCAGCACAGTAGTACTACCATCTGACGAGAAAACTCAAAGCGGACACCTCCAAAAAATTGGGGCAGATGGAGCAAGTTAGTTGGGCTTGGGTCGCGTCCGTGCGCAGGAGAAAATCTCCCCTGCTTTGAACGCCAACCGCCGCACGGACGTGGCTGCTGTTGGGGTGGACGCACCGGGGCGGGGCGGGGCCGGAAGGCGATACGGCGATGGGCGATGGCGCCACCACTGTCGGCACGGCATGAGCTTTCGGCACCGACTTGCAGCTAACATGGCGGATGCTTTGGACATTCCGAAAGATATAAAGCCTCATGCGCCCAGGTCAGCAGGGACGCAAAAGGGCGGAGAGTGGAGACGTTTCCGTCGGAGCGGGCAGGGAATCCCGTCTTGCTTGCGATGCGACGCGACACGAGCGCATCTTCCCGGGATCAGAATTCCGTGGCGTGGTGTGATGCGCCGATGCAACAGTCCGACGTCGAAAGCGCCCCTAAAGCCTGCCCCCGCGATTAGACGTCGGTCGGTCGGTCGCTCGTCGGCGCTCGGGTCCTTTCTTCCTAGACCGAAGCGTCGTCACGTCGTCGTTGCATGTTCACTGAGGTTTCTTTTCCAAGCCGATGCGGTGCTCCGCTGCTCCTTTCTCCCATGCGATTTCATTTTTCACAATAAAATCGACAGGACAGTTTCCTGACGCTCACCTTACAAGTTTGTTGCTCGTCATATCGTCCTAGCAGGACACGGACGGACGCTTCTCGAATCTGGACCGGGGTTTGAGCATGCAAGTTTGGTGCGGTGTGCACGGGCTAGCTTTTTGGAGGGAAACCGAGAGCGCACACTTGGAATGTTGGGACGTTGAAGAATACCTACCACACACCATACACCCCGACGAGCAAGAATGTTGAACGTCGACCACAGACCCCCACGCAGCAGCCAGCGGCTGAATATAGGACCCTCACCACACCCTGGTCACGTGAGGAGATGGGAGGGGGATCAGTTAGAAATGCCCTCATGATCCTATCTTATTCTCTCCTCGTACGTCGCACCACGTGACCATGGTCACCCCTATATTCATCCCTGGCTGCTGCGTGCGTGCGTGTGTATGTGGTCGAACGTT